TTATATGTGTTGTGAATAGAAGTTGCGTTTTCATTCTCGGACATTCATTTGTACAATTGAATTGTTTCTCCTCAATTCCTTTTGCGCGTATTTTTAAATGCTCAAAAAATTCCGATAAAAGAAAAAGTTTTAAAAGTTAGGCGGTAGTTGTTAATTGCTATAGTGAAAAGAAGCTAATTCAGTTAAGTCATTCGAATCCAATATTTGTAAACAATTTATTTCGTATCCACAAAACAATTGTGCAGTGTTTTGCTAGCGAACAAAAACATTTCGAATCGATGACATCAATGTATAGCAAATGTACGTAAGGTAATTGTAAACGCATCATATATTTGTTTTCAACTGATTGAATTTTACTTATCCAAGAAAATAAAATTGAGGCTAGAAAATTGTTAGCAACAAAGAAATTCGAAAAACACCGTATTATTATCTGATATTCCGATTCGGAACTAAACATTCCCCTCATTGTGAATCACATTCGGAAAGGCATGTGTGCTAGAAGCTTTTGCATTGTTTCAAACAATTCTCTGAAATTGTGTATTTTTTCCCGAACGTTGTTTACCAGAGATGCATAATGTATGCATTGTCATCATTGTTGGCAACCATTTACTGCTGATGGCATATGATTCATGCTATGTTTATATTACTCATTGCATTTTTATTTAGAATTGGCATGAATAAATAGCTTGACTCTTTGGTATTTTCCTTCCTCAACCGTTTCATTTGTGGTGTAAACTGTTGAAAGAATGTTAATGTTCAATAATTAACACTTTGGCCAACTAATTTGAATAGCTTTTGTTCGACTCGGTTTTTAGATGTGCGCATCTCAATAGCACCTGTTGTGAAATGCGTCATTCGGTTTATTTAAATAGTCGCGAGAAATTGTGTGAGATTATCATTTGTAGGGCATCCGTTGTACTGTGAACACTGAACACATCTGTGCACCTCGTTAAATAGCATTCATTAAATACGCGCTGTTTTGGCAGAAAATTAAAGTGTTATTAAATTAAGTGGCAAATTAAAGAGAATCAATTGGAGAAAACTGTGTTGTTTTAAAATTTTCGAAAGCTAAACAAAATGTCATCGTGGGAGTTTGCCTGTTTTCTAGTTGTCGTTGCATCTGCATTATTAGACGCGAGTCCCGTACCTCAAAGAGGAGCTGATGATTTTGGCTTTGTCGATCGAGTACTCAACGCAGACGAAACCTTCGCACGAGCTCCGTCACGAAACGGTCGTCAAAACTATTTTTATGATTATCCTCTTTCGTATGACTACTACAAGCAATTTCCCGCATACCCAGATTATTATAATTCCTTCTATGATGCATCGTATTATGCACCTCAGCCCAGTCACATTCCACAAATAAACGGCTATCCTTCCAAGAAGAAATCGCAACGGAGAAAGGGTTTTCCATTCGAACCAACCACTCAAAAATATACCATCTGGGATCTGGCGAGAAAATAAAATTGTTTCGACTTTAAACTGTATCCAGGAATAAGAGAAAGAGATGAAAATTTTATTTATACGTGATTTTGCTAAATACTTCATACGTCTGCTCCTATTTAAAACAACATTTCAAGACATGGTGATATTTTTAGATTATTTCTTATGATTTTTTGACAAACAACTTTGTTGATAATATTTTATGTTGTACTATAAGAATAGTAACTTAAATTTAGACTCAATTAAATTATAAATAACATGGAAATAAAAATAAAAATGTTCGAAAATCAAATGGTTATCATCCTGTTGAAATTTTTATTTTGATTTTGATCAAGATTTTTTTTCACTTATTTCCAGCCTTCAGTTAGCATATATCAACAAATAAAAACTGCTTATAAGCTGCTACATCATAAATGTACTAAAAAAGGAATCTGGATGAGAAGAAGTTTCAAGTGATTCCTAAATCGCTCTCGAGAGCGATATAATAAAATAAGCTCTTATTTTATTCGTTAAACATTCATTCGTCTTGTAAAGAATTTGTGAGAATACTGCACAATGTCATATTTTGAAAAATCGTCTAACCTCAATTTGAAGCGAAACATTCTTGAAGTCACAGTTTCGTATTTGACATATATTCATTATTTGATCGAATTCATATCTATAGAAGAATGCCAAATGTTACAGTCATTTTCAAAGAATAAATTACGTAACAAGAGATGCGTCGCTATACTTTTCCCAGAAATCGGAGAAAGTACCGATTTGTCATGCAGAAAGAGTTGAAGGGAATGTGAAAGTTTATACCAAATGAAGCTATTAAATGTAAATTCACTATCCAAAATTCATTGTCAGTTGAATGTATCCCAAAGATACTAATTAATTGATCATGCTCCTTAAAATAAAACATCTGTGCAAGTCGACGCTGAGTTGAAAATAAATGAAACAACATTTTAACACATGCTAATTTATTATCATTAAGTGTGCTACCCTGATTAGCACATTTCATATTGAACAATTCGTCTTGACAAGACGGTCATGTTTTTATGTAAACACATAGAAATCGTTGAGAAAAATACACAATAATTTCATTTTATTGCTTGTTGTTATGCGAACAGATGGATTAAACGCCGAGATATCGCAAATAATGTTAAATGCATGGAATTCCATCAATTTTCACACATCATAAATTACATTATTTATACGCAAGTTTTTTTGTTCAATATATATAGAAAGGCTTTTCAGAGTCTGTGAGAATCTCAGACTGTTATCAAAAACAAAGTGCCATCTGGTCAATCTGTCAGGGTTGATGGAAGCACAAAAATCAATTTAACATTTCATCATCAATTTTGTCGTTCTTCATTATTTTTCCGTTCATTTCGCGAGTTCACACATTTTTAAGTGATTTCGAATGGGATTTTGGACATCAGCTAAAATAACAGCGTATTATTGTTATTGTGAGTTCCAGATTTGATGCTTCCTGTGTTGAAATATTCTGTCTGCCTTTTGTTTATGTTTCTAATGATGAAGCCGCGATGTAACTTGTTTTCCACTTTTTCTACACTTCTACCATTTGTGCGCCACTTATTTTTATCACACAAAGTGTTTACATGACGAATTCACACTTGATGTATCAAGTGTATACACAATGCATTGCTTCGTGTGGTTGTATGCACATTATGTTTGTTGCATATCTGTACTTAGAATGGGCTGACACAGTTTGCGGCAGACAGATTTCTTAGAATTTTCTGTAAACCATATGTTTAGATTGTAACGGGAAAATATAAGTGAATCTACCTGCATGATCCAGATAATGTCTACATTTTTCTGAAACTATATACTTCGCTTGAATGAACCTGAATATCTCCCAAAAAAATGATCAATCCATGGCTCAAAAAATGATTACAAAACAATATAAAAAGGGTCGCTTCATAAGGTATCAATCAGAACAGTTGAGTCTTTCGAACAGAAAACATCACTGAAAAATAAATACGCAGCAAAAATTAAAAAAAAAAAAACAAAAAAAGTTAGCAAAAGTATTAAGATTAAAATACTGTTCGCATCATATCGAAAAGACAATCTTGCAGCCGAAAATAGGAATGGAGCATAGTAAAAGTGGCAGTTATGAAGTTAAAGAGGCGTCCAATGACTGTCGTTTGAGCGTACTGAATTTCGATTGCTTGGAGAAAATATTTGAACGATTATCCACTATGGAATTGATAAAATTGTGTGCGATAAATCCAATCGTTGATGATGCGGTCAAGGAGCGCGCCGTAAGAAAGCGTGAAATAAACTTCAATGACTGGAAAAGAATCTGGGACACAGAGATGATATTCAAGAAGTTTGGCGAATGGATAAAATTCATGAGGATTTGTGAAGAAGATATTGATGTGCAAGCACGTAAAAATTCCACAGCCTTTGAATCCTTTTTAAATTTACTCGTGAAACATTGTACTGAAAATCGGCTTCGAACGCTTTCGTTGCACTTTGATATTGGTCAATTGAATGGAGATTTGTTGGACGCTGCAAAGCCATTCTTCACCAAATTGCGTCAAATTCATTATTCATCCATTGGCCATCTAGATAATTCCGGTCAGGAGCAATTTTTTGCCACAGTTATAGATGAAGCTAAAGAATTGGAAAGTGTTCAGTTGGAAAATACATGGAATAAAGGTACTTGGCTGCAACACATCAACACGCAAAACATTCAAAACATTGCGTTAGTCAACTCATCAATTTTCGACACACAAAGTTGGGACACATATTTCAATCGTTCACCGGCAAGAATTAAACGATTCGCCTGGATCAATACATCCGTTCCGAATACATCACTTTGCGAAAAATTCGTACGTAATTGTCCAAATTTAGAGCAACTAATTGACATTCAACATATATTGCCAGACGGATATTTACAAGACAGTTTGTTGATGAATCGGTATAATTATATATCAGCAGCAAAAAGTTTACGGTGTGCACGAGTAACATCATATACTCGTAGCGGACTAGATTTGATCGGTTTGTTTGTTGCGATTGCACAGAAAAATACCGTTCAAAATTTGAGCATTCACTTTATTATGAATGCTATGGGTCAATTCAATCA